ACTGCCTCATCAAGCTGTTTTTCCCAGAAAACTAACTCTTCAGCTTAAACCTTCTCTTCCTCTGCAGGTCCCACGCTGTTTCCTTTTTCAAGTCCTAGCAAACAATTCTAGTATTTGCTCTGCATCCAGAAAATTACTCACACTGAGGTAAGGCAATCAGTGCTTTTCCTCCCTCTTTCCTGCCCCTTCTCCCAGCCACACAAGAGCCTCTGCCAGTCTGAAGTGGCTTGAGGGGTCATGGCAGCGTGGGGCTCGGCTGGCTGCTCTCCAGGGAGCTGCAACCATCTGGCAAAGGGGGCCTGGCAGCTTCCTCCGCAAGTGCGTTTGACTCGATCACAAAGCCCCCAGTCCCTGCTTAACCTATGCCAGGGTTTCAGTGGATTTCCAGCTTGCTAAGGTCAAGACATCTGTGATCATTGCAAAAGCTACAGGGCAGCACTTTTGACCTGGGGATGTGGACAACATGCTGGCCGAGGGGTAAATTTTGCAGCTGGCGCTACCACCAGCCCAAGCACCCTGTTACCATGCGTGCCTGCCCATTCCCCTACTGCAGATGGCTGCTGAGTGGCGACACTTGTTAATATTAACTTTCCAAAGGTACTGGTTTTAATAACCTCGCAGCACCAGAAAAACCAACAGACACAGGCTGATCTTACAAGCACGTATAGCCTTTCTAGTTGTCACTAATGGTCTGGGGTGCCAAAGCCAGGGTGCTTCACAGGGACACAGAGACCTCATCTGCCAGCTCAGGGCTAAGGTGCTGAGATCTGCAGCACTCCTTTTTCATGAGCCCTGGCAATAATGCAAGTCAGAGGGTCTAGCTCACTGTAGGCCAAGATGCTCCTCACATTTATGCACCCAATCCTACATCCGCTAAGTTAGCAGAAGTGTTCCCCTTGCCTCCAGGCCATCAGCATACGTGTAGTATACTATTCATAACTTTCCTAGGGATAGAAGATCAAGGAAGCTTGTGAGCAGTGCCACCATCTAGTTCAGAGGTAGATAAGTGCATTGATATAATGCCCCACCTCTATACCCCAAATCCTGGCTGCAGTGTGCAAGGGACTGGGCCACAAAGACACAAACGTCCCAGAGCTCCTGGTTTCTGATGAGAAGATAACACCAAACTGCTGCTTTTAATCCCTAGAAACTCAAGACCACAAGTATAAACTGGCAGCTGGAGAGGCCCAAAATACAAATTCTGAGTTAATTTGTGTGCAAGCACCCTGCTTTCCTGTCAGTGGCTGATAGGCAACACCCAGCCATCACCCAGGCCATGCATTGCTGAGGCTCACTGACGCTCCCACATCAGCTCGCATGTGGGCTCTCAGCACTCCCATCAGCGGTGGGTGCCCTCAGGAACGCTGCGCTGCAGCTGACACGTCAAGATGAGGATAAAGGAGAAGGCTCTCTGGAAATGAATTTTAAGGTCCAGTCAAATATTATTACAACCTACATTTCTGTTTGTGAGAATGATCTCCTCACTGAAGATTTTGTGAGCACTTTATTGAACCAACTTTGATACCTTCCAACACCAACTTAATACTCAAACAGATAGGGCTTTTCATCTTCAAAGTAGTTTACATATATTAGCTAATTAATCTTTGAGAAGGGAATTGCTGCCATTATCCTCTCTACATTTACAGCTGAGAACACCAGGACAGAGGGGGAAAGGGGTTGCCTGAGGTCACAGCAGTAGGACAGAGATGAGACGTCCCCATACACCATTAGAAACAGCTTTCTCCTGAAACACCTCTGTTTTTCACCTCTCCATTCAATGAGCTGTGTGTCTGAATTTGCTGGATTGAGCTGAGTAAGCTGAAATTGCTAACAAGGAAACAGGCTCACACTGTCCCACTGAGGCTGCACTATGACATTATGTGTGACTATCCTTACCTATAAGGACCATGGGAACAGATGTGTTTATTCATGCTCAGGAAAGCAATCCCAGTCCTGGGCCAAAAGTGAATGGCAAAAGGGCTATAAAACACAGCATCATGGAGCAAACACACTACTTCACACAGTGGTAGTAGGTTCTAACTCTCCCTCAGCCTATTCCTCCTCCCTCCCCAGTAAAACCATGCCCAGTTGTTACGCCTCCTGCGGCATTCCCCGGGAGAGGATGTAGCATCAGGGTAAGCGAGAGACTCTGGAGGGGACTGTGCAGCTATGCCCCCCGCAAGCACCCCAGAGCGCGTGTGCAGAACTGCCCTGGGCTGGCAGAGCAGGTGCAATCAACTTAGCTTTGACTTCCCAGTAAATATATATTTGATATGTATTTGATTCATCCTCTGTCACCTAGTGGGCTCTCTAGACCAGCACTCCTGGGAAGTCCAAGGAACACAATAACAAAACCCTCTAATAGGGCCCCTTTCCTCTGCAGGAGCATACTCTATCCTCAGAGTTCATAGTCCCTATTACTGATCTGCACATGCTGAGAAGCTAATCCGTGACACTTTAGGTATCTGCTTGATGCCATTTTTCTGTTGCACGCTATATTCAACTGGTACCAAAGGCCCACGCCATTCTCAAACATGCACGTGAGATGTGCTACTCAAAGAGAGGGAGCAGATGTACAGAGAGGTACTTAAAGAATCACCAAGCAACCTTAAAAAAGCTCCACAGCAGCCAGCTTGCTCAGAACAAAGGATACCAAACATGCGGACACTTGGCTTTCTGCCCTAGAAAGACCATGTTTTCTGTTAACACACAGCCCTCAGACTTAGACACAAACGAGTTTCCCTACTCTCTGCCCCTTTTCTAGATCAAAAGGAGAGATTTAGTCCAAGTTGGCCTGACACATACTGAAAGCCCAACCTGGCGCCCAGCCGGACACAGCTGCTCAGGAAGACATGCCGTGTGGTTGCCATCCAGGAAGCAAGGAGCCTTCTTGACCTGCTCCTAGTATGGATCAAGGCCAGCCAAGCCCAGCTCATTTGAGTTGAGGAGGCAGTGACTCATGTACTGCAGCCCTTTCTTGCTTCTGCTTGACGTGTGTGCTTTGCTCCCTTATCCTGCAGGCTGACGGAAACCATGATGGACATGCTCAGGGGCAGCTATAGTTATTTATCACAACTGTTTAATCCCATTTCTGACTGTCCTACAGAGTCAGGAAAGCCATGGTATACTCAGAAAGGATCCTCCCTGCCCTTTGCAAGTAGCAGTTTTGTGCAGCCTCCTCTGCTACCTCATGTCGCCTGGAGGGACAGACATGCCACAGAGTGGGGCAGGCTATTTTTGCTACCTGGATATCAAAGGAAACAGCTCACCCTAGAAACTTATTATTTGAAAAGCAGGCATTCTCTGAGGAGGAATGTGACAGTCACTCAAGCCTTTCAGCCACAGCTATTACCCTACTTGTTAACCCACCAGGAGATGCCTTCATGCCTGCATGCAGAGAACAGACACGTTCAGCAGCAGTCTGTGGTCCAGGTTTGACCTCACAAGCAGGAGAGGGCTGAGAGTGGCACTGCAAAGCCCCAGATCATCCCTGCTTTGCAAGGGGATATTGGCAGTATGAGGAGTGGGGCGAGACAGGAGGAGGCACTGAAGCTGATGGATTTACTGCTCTTATTTATCCCCTCTGCAGCCTATGGTACATCCTAAATCCTTATTTTATTCTCTTTGCATTATTAGAGTAAACTTGAGGCAAGTTAGCCAGAAGGTGGATAAATCATGAGTCCAAGGAAATTCAAGTTCAGATCGCATCCCCTTCTCTTCTGCTTGCTCTGTGTTCAAGGAGCCGCTGATGTGCGGAGAGCTCCACCTCGCGTCTGACGGAAGCCCTCAGGAATTGCCGTTCCTCTGCCCACCGCATTTAGGCCAAAATCTGGCACCATCTGCAGTGCTGAGTGGTGCTGGTATTTGATGCTAATAACTACAGACCTGTGAGCCTGGAGGCGATCATGTTCTGGCTTTGCTGAATTTTGCCAGGTGGATCCTGGCTTCCAAGCCCACACAAACAGAGTTCAAACCTAGATGGTACTGGGTGAAAACTCCATAAGGAGGCAGAGCTAAGAGGTGGTCCCAGACAAAATGATTTAATGTAATTGCGTGGATTCTGATTTTTAAAAGGTCCTTTCCACTTTGCACCAGGATGCTTAGTGTCTCAGTGACCTTTTTAAATGCAACTTCATCTGTTTAATGTACTAATGTTAAAAAATGTAAAAATGTAAAAAGTGTTGGTTCTCCTCGGCCTGCAGTCCCTCAGGGCATCCCCACCCCAAGCAAGAGTTATAACTAGACCTCTACTGCTCTGAAAGGTTTCCGTGCAGGATTCAGTTTGGAAAACTTCCTTACAGGTTGTAAGTTCTCTATATGACTCAGATAACAAGTTTGAAATGTTCACTCAACACAGGGGAAAAACTGAG